TCAAAACTAGGGGATTGACTTACATGAGATCGACTTTTACTCGAGTATGTATAGTATGTTCATGGATTCTGACCAGATGCTGAATGCAGAACTGGGAATGTTTATTGTTGAATCACCGTGCTTTCAACTGGTTAAACTACCATGCAACAGGATATAGATGTGTAAAAACAACTGAAACAAACATAAAATGCTGGAGAAATTCAGCAGATCTGCCAACACCTGTGAAGAGTGAAACACAATTGATATTTGAGTCTGCTATGTGCAATCGCTACAGTATGAGTCCTCTTCCGAAACTATAAGTGTGTATCCCTCCTATATTACGGAGCGTAGCAACAAAATCACTTTGGTGTTCATTACTTAAAGAATTTCTGAGCTGGCTGTTCACGCATTGGACCATGAAGACGATCCATAGTGACAAAATATTTAAGTAAAGACTAGAGAAATTGGGCCTCCTCAGCATCAAGAGGACCAATTTAAAGTACAATATACATAGTATCAATTGGCTTTTTTATTTACTTATTCGTTTGAAATGTGGAGATGGGATACTGCCCAACCCCACCTGCCCTTGAGAAAATGTTGATAGACTGACTTCTTCAACTGCTTTGATCCATGTGGAAAGGTACATTCATGATGATGTTAGGGAGGGAATTCCAGGAATTTGACCAGTGATAATGACGGAACAGTGACGTTGTGCCAGATCAGGATGTTGTGGCTTGAAGCGGAACTTGCTTGTGTTCTTATGCATATGCCTTCTTTGTCGCTCTAGGTGACAAGTCATAGCTTGGATCAATTAAGTCCAGAGCATCACTTCAAGATATATCCGGATCCCATATACTGGTATATAGGAAAATGTGCAACAGTTAAGTTTACAACAATTTTAGAAATAATTAACTGTCTAAAGAATGCCAACATTTGGAATCATTTTCCACCAAGCTCAAGTGTGACAAATTTCCTAAGTTTATCAGGTGTATTCGGGAGGCCGTCAAACGGCATTAGAAGGCCGGTTAATAATTAGGGATATATAATTCAAATAAATGTTTGAAGGATTAGGAGAAATTTGAAATTTTCATTTCAGTATTTGGAACTCACTAGCTGTAAGGATGGTGTATTTAATAAGTTGTTGGATATAAAGTTACAAATAAAGCGCTGGAAATTTTGGATCAGGCAGCATGGCTGTTTTCATTTTACTGGCAGACAGGATGGACCAGATGGCCAGCTCCTGTGCTGAAAAATTCTATGATTCTGAATTTGTTCATTTTCAGTTGTGGATCTGTTAGCTAAATTCAGCCATCTTTCTCCATTTCTGTTCTGTTAAACTGATTTGCTCACTCATCTACCAATGTTCGTGCACTTCAGGTTATTTTCAGTTTTGAGTTTTTGAATTCTCATGACTTAACTGGAATTTTTAAAATAGCAGGCTCTTGACCGTATACTCACTGTTCCATCCATAAACTTATGCTGACTGGTTAACAGATCACAGCCTACTCATCCCTCAGTCGTCACAGTCAAAGTCTTCCTCTTCTTCTCACCCTCAAACCTCCTGAGATCAGTTGTAAATGGAACTAGACTTCAAAGTAGCTTCCTTCTAATAATGAGTCATGAATTTGGCTTTTTTTTTTCAATTTGAACTAAACCTTCAGTTCCTTTGACTTGATAGGTGACTTCTGCATTGTGTCTGTTATGGAATTATTCCAATCAGGATATTTTCTGGTCTTTTCTGAGTCAGTTGCTCTCACCCAAGGTGCACTTGGTAACTATTGTAACTTTAGAGAGAGGAAGAAATTCTTTGCAATGCTGCTGACCACTCAGGAACCTCCCTGCGAGATATAAAACTTTGGTCCACCCTCTATGATGGGTGGCGTACCAATTGTACATATACCAGTGAATAGTTCTAAGTGGTACTCCAATAATTTATCTATGACAAATCTGGTTGAACCCTTAAGGAATCATTACTCCCATTTGATAACCAATTTACTGTTCTGATACTGATGTAGTTTCCACCTATCTGCTCCTTTTATCCATCTTCCATCCGCCTCCCCCTCCCTCTATTTATTTCAGAATCCCCTTCCCCTCCCCCATTTCTGAAGAAGGGTCCAGACCCGAAATGTCAGCTTTCCTGCTCCTCTGATGCTGCGTGGCCTGCTGTGTTCATCCAGCTCTACACCTTGTTATCCTAGTTTCCTACTGTTGTGTTTAGCTTCTCCATTCTTATTTTTGTTTCATACTGCTTTTTTCATATTGCTTTTGTTTTACATTTTTCACTTTCATTCCCAGTATTCTTCTTCACCATTCCCTCTCTAGCGTCTGTGGCGTTTATTTAACTTCATATCTTCTGAATGCAGTTAAGGTCACATTTATTTGTGTTGATTTTTCCTTGCCATATTTTTATCCTGCACACTTAATGGAATGTTTTATAGCTCACCTTATTACATAATTCATTGCATGACATGGTAACTTAGATTGAAAATGTTATCTGTCTTTGGGATTGTTAACCAATTACAACTAAATGAATTGCTAACACAATGATATTATCAGTTTCTTTGTTCTTTGATTAACTGATCATCTTTGAGGTTTTTCTGAACTTAGGACTTGGAGGAGAAAAGCAGAAGCAATCTTTCCACCGAATAGTGAAACTCCAAGATTCATTGCACAAGTCCACATACTTAATTCTGTAGAAAAGGTTGAATAGCCATTGTACTCAAATTGCATCATTGACCAATAAGAAAGCCACAAAAAAAAACGTCCGGAACAAATCAGTGCTCTTCATTTTTAGAATTTCCATTATTTCCAACACTGCATGAGTGATTATAATTGAAGACGTTTCCAGTTAGTAGTATTGAGTTTCTATTATTAGCTTTATCTGTTTTACATGAACCCACACTCTGTGGGTGGATGGCAAACACTGCTGGTGCAGAGTGTGTGTAACTATGACTGACTACTAAGAAGCCCTCAAAACGTGGCTAACCAGTAAAGCTTCCACACTTTGTGGGTTGTACCTTACTTCCTGTCTGACAGGACAAGTGACTGATGAGGTTTTGTAACTTTGCTTTTAAAGCATTTTGATTACTTTCTGGAAAAATAAGTAAAGCCCAAAACTAGAATTTTTAAGCTGAAGCCCATTATCTCTGAAACTGCCCGTTAATACTTCACCTCCAATGGAGAAGCCACATAATCTATTATCGGACTTGATTTCAACTGCTTCTGTGCAGGATTCCACCAATAAAAGCAAGATCGTCTCGTATTGTCATCTTTCCATGTATACGACTCTGTCCGTTCTTGTCCATTTTTTGTTCAATGTACCTTGGGTTTCAGTTGCTGATGCAAACTGTGAAAGAACTCCAAGATCCAAACTTCATTAAATTTGTGTTTTTGAAAACCTGTATAGTTTACTAACAATACATAATTTTTTATTTGTGAAAAATGTTTGTATATGTATTATGTGTTCAACCCTGATGTAATATACTTTTACACTTTATCCTTGGTTGTTACACCAGTGAAAATCCTGACAGTGCTTAGCTATGATTCATAATGCAAGTGATATCATTGCTCAGTCCATCGAGTATAGGAGTTGGGAAGTCATGTTGAGGTTGTGCAGGGCATTGAGGCCTCTTTTGAAATACTGTGTCCAGTTATGATCACCCAGTTATAAGAAGGATATTATTAAGCTGGAGAGGGTTCAGATTAGATTTTCTGGGTATAGAAGGCTAGAGTTATAAGGAAAGGCTGGATAGGTTAGACTTCACTGGAGCGTAGGTGGTTGAGAGGTGACCTGATAGAAGTCTACAATGCATCAGACGCAGCTGGGTAAATCCATGGGTTGAACATGATCCCCATCTCTTCTTGTCCTTTCACGTTCCAAGTAATGCTATTGGAAAATGTAAAGTGGCTGATTTGATTTTTTTTGGGAATGTATGAGCAAATTGATTGGATGAATAATTTGATAGCGTTCAACACCATTAACATGTAATGGATCTATTTGACAACATTTAGAATTTGAAAGGATCTATGCATTGGACTTAGCAATTCAGAATATGAAAGGCACTTGCAAAGAAATTGATAAGTTTTCCAAATGCGACATTTGCCAACTTGTAAAGTTTTTTTGTCTTTCCATCTCTGATACTGACCGTACCCTTTCTGTCATCTAGAGTGTCCTAAAGGATCTGTTGCTAGCTTTTCATTATTTCTTTTTCCCCTTGCTTATTTGTCATTCTTGTCCTCCTGTTCCATCTCCCGTTATCCAATTCCTTCAAATTTGTTGTTCTTCATTCTGTAAAAAATACAGTATTTCTAATTCTGCAACATGTCTTTTGAATGTGATCAACTTTTTCTAGGAATCTGATATACTGTTTCCATTGTTCCAGTTACTTAAAAACTGGAGGGCAATTGGTGCTGATAAATTAATCGCAACCTGCTATATGCCAATCATCCTGCTTGTGTGAGATGCCCTTATTGTAACAGTTATTGGATTGTATTTTAGTCAATTTGGAAATAATTGATTAGCTACTAGCAACCCCCATATTCCATGAATGTTTGTTTATTTTTTAAACTGCTGTATAATTTGTCTTCTCTTTTTTTAAGTGATGGGGGTGTAGTAGTGAGCCAAACCATAAAGACCAAATGCCAAACCACACCCGTTTAATAGTTGTATTCTAGGAACCAGTATAAACTTCTCCATAAAAGGCCATCTTAGTTTCCTGTTCTTGACTAACTGAGTCATCAGAACATTCAGTAAATCATATCTAATTCTACAATTCTAATTTAGGTGATCTCAAAGTTAAAATAAAGTCTGCTCTTACAAACTCTCAAATGGTTTGTGTCCTTGAATGAGAGCAATAAACTAGAGCAAGTACATTTTTATTATCAGAATTTAGCATCTGTTTACTCAAACCAGTATTAATTATTCAGGAACCATTGAGGTACGAGTGTCTGTTCTTGGATGTTAGCACAAAAACATTGTGTACTTTGATCCGGTTATTAATATCTCTTTCTTTTGTTACCAGCACTAATGATTAATTGGCTTTATTTGGCACAATTCAAAGTATCTGTTGGTTGGGTGACCATCGTAATTGTAAGATTGAATGAAAGAAGGACTTGCATTTTTTTCAAACTCTGGTTATCCTAATGCACTCTCACAGCTAGTTAAGTGCCTTTAAAAGGTACTGAGAAGCATGGATATAACTTCTGAAAAGATCAGTCCCACACACCGCCTTCACCCAAACACAGGCACATTTAACACTCCCTCAGTACTGTGTTTCAGTCAGAAGTCACATAACACCAGGTTATAGTCCTACAGGTTTATTTGAAATCATAAGGATTTAAGAGCGCTGCTCCTTTTGTCGGGTGAAGTGAAGAGAAGCACACAGGCACAATTTATGGGCAGAGAGATCAAAAGATCATACAAATGGTGAGTGGAGTGTCGACAGGCTGAATAAGTCTTTGTAGGTGAACAAGTGAAGGGCTGACCTATAATCCGATTGCAGCAGAGAGATAATTACAAAAAATTTAAAAATAAGATGGTGCTGGAGACAAACCAAATGACTGGAATAATATGATAGGTATAAGAGTCGCATGCCGAGGATCTAATCAAAGTAACAAGTAATCCAAAACTATACAAACTAATTATGGTAGAGGGATCATAACTTGTTATCAAGGTGATGGTGTCAAAACAGGACAGTAAGGAGGATTTTACAAATATAGAACGGTATGGTGGGGTTACACGTAGCGCAACGTGAACCCAAGATCATGGTTGAGACCATCTTCATGGATATAGAAATTGACTATCAGTTTCTGCTCAGCAATTCTGTGTTGTTGTGTGTCTCGAAGGCTGCCTTGGAGGACGCTTACCCAAAGTTCGGAGGCTGATTATCCTTGACAGCTGAAGTGTTCCCTGACTCGGAGGGAACATCCCTGTCAGACCATTGTTGCGCGCTGTTCATCCGTTGTTGTAGGTCTCACCGATTATACCATGCCTCGGAATCCTTGCCTGCAGCATGTGAGGTAGATAACATTGGCTGAGTCACCTGAGTATCTGCCTTGTACGTGGTGGGTGGTGCCGGTGAACTGACATGTCTTGCAGAGGTTGCCATGGCAGGGTTGTGTGGTGTTGCGGTTGTGTTGTCCTGAAGGCTGGGTAGTTTGCTGCGAGTGATGCTCTGCTTAAGGTTTGGCGGTTGTTTGAAGGCGAGAAGTGGAGGTGTAGGGATAATCTTCGTGAGATGTCCACATCATCGATGACATGTTGAAGGCTGCGAAGAACATGGCGTAGTTTCTTCTCTCCGTGGAAGTGCTGGACGACGAAGAGTACTCTAGTGGTCATATCTTGTGTCTATTGAGGAGGTCGTTGCAATTTTTTACTGTGGCACATCAGAATTGGGGATCAATGAGTTAAGCATTGTATCCCATTCTTATGAGGGTGTCTTTCAGCGTCTTTAGGTGTCCATTGCGTTCCTCACCGTCTGAGCAGATTCTGTGTATGCACAAGGCTTGTCCGTAGGGATGGCTACTTTAACATGTTTAGGGTGGAAGCTAGAAGAGTGCAGCATTGTGAGGTTATCCATCGGCTTGTGGTAGAGTGAGGTACTGAGGTGTCCAGGAATTGAACTAATTCTGAAGAGTAGTCCATGGTAAGTCTGATAGTGGGATGAAACTTGTTGATATCGTTGTGTAGTCATTTCAGTGACTCCTCGCTGTAATAACTGAGGAAGAACATGTTGATGTATCTGGTGTATAGCGTTGATTGGAGGTCCTGTGCAGCAAAGAAGTCTTGCTCAAACTTGTGCATAAAAACGTTGGAATATTGGGGTGCAAATTTGGTCCCTATGGCTGTTTCATGTGTCTGGATGAAGAACTGGTTTCCGAAGGTGAAGAAGTTGTGGTCAGGGATGAATTGGATGAGTTGTTGGGTGGCGTCTGGAAATTGGCAGTTGTCAGTGTTGAGTACTGACGCTGTTGTGGGAGTTGCTGGTGTACAGTGCCAAAACGGCCTTTGTGATGAGTGTTCCTGGTTCAATGGATCCATGGGTGCTGAATTTCAGTAAGACGTCTGTAGTGTCATGATAGAAACTGGGATGTTCCTTGTACAATGATGGGCCAAAAGGCTACCATCTGTGCAGCACTTCTGTGATTCTGTAATACTTTCAGTTTAGCATGCTGTAATCATGGCTAATGATGCCGCCTCTATAGCGGAGTGACCAAACATTGTGGATGACCAGTTTGTTCTATTCTGTCCTTGAGTTTCCGGTTGCTTGTCCTTTAAATTCTCCCTTCCTCCCATGCTGACCTTTCTAATTCTGCCCCACTTATTAGTGAAGCTTCACATGAGCTCAAGGATCAGCATCTTTCAACTCAACATTGTACAGCTTTCTGGGCCTAACATTGAGTCCAACAACTTCAGATCATAACCTCCACATCCATAATCTTGCTTATGTTTTAATGGATGAGTCTTCATCTTATATTTTTTTTTCTTTCCCTTCATATTGTATTTAGATGGATTTTGTGTAACAATTTGCATCTCATTTGGATGTAATCTTTGTTTCTTCACTATGCCCATTACCACTCATTTTGGCTTTTATATCACAAAATCTTTTGTTATTTAATCTTGAGATCCAGGCCGCCTCAATATCTCAGATCTTTGTTCGTCTTGCCACCTTCCTCTTCTACTTCCTTAAAAAGACTCCAACACTTTATTTCTTTTCAGTTCTAATAACTAGTCATTGACCTGAAATGTTAATTCTGTTTTTCTCCATAGATGCTGCTTGACCTACTGAGTTTTTCCAGTTTTTTTTTTTTTTTTTTTTTTTTTTGCTCTTATTTCAGAGTTATGCATCCGAGGTACTTCACTTTTTGGATCAAGCTGGTTATTCAGGCCTCCGAGGGTCAGTAGATAAATTAAACATTGATACTCCCCATTGCACCCTGACTAAAAACCCTACTGATCTGTTAATAGTATGAAAGTGATCTGGCCTGAAACTGTTAATCCCTTAACAAATAATTTGTGCCAAATTGACTGTGTCCCTAAGGCAAGCAGACAAAAAACAGGTCAGGAGTTGCATTCCTGACTATCAACGACAGCTGACAAGTGTGCTTGTGTATGTGAATCATACCGTGAACATCTGGTTGAATTGCCACAGAGACACAGCTGTTTAGGCTCAGATTGTGAAGCAGAAAGCTGTTATATATAGCTGACTATACTCCATGAATTGTATTGTTATGAAGACGTTATGTAAAATATTAATTCATGTTGCTATTGACTGTCCTGAACTTTTTTAAAAGAATACTTTCTAAAGTAAAGGGCACTGACTACAGCAAAAATGTCACATTTGCACAGGACACGAGCTGCTTGATCTGAGTCACAATATTTTGGAGAGAGGTCACATGGCACAGTTTGTGTGTGTGTAAAATATATTGGTTTTGAATGCACAATTTGCCACGGGGTAACAGCTTTTGTCCCCGATCTTGCTTTCTCTGAAACCCCTCTAATTAAAGTTTGACAGTTGACAACATGACTGCAATTGGCAGGTTTCCAAAGGAGAACTCTGATTCTACAGCTTCCAGAGAAAGAAAACCATGCCGACTGTAACTGATCCAGGAAGCAATCCCAGTGCTAAGGTGTAGAG